TTTCTCAGATTAGTTCTTAAACTCTTTCAGAAAGCAACAAATTGCCCGTTGTTTTTGTCAAGTTTTTACATATCAGTCTATTGTGAGACTTCATCACAGCCCAGTAGATAGAAACAAAAGTAATGTTGTACCCACTGTGCACTTCCGTAGTCCATTTTATAGATTTTGCTAATTCAGGAAGGCCAACGCCATTTCGGACAGTATACCAGTATTAGGTGAACCTATTATGACTTCGACACAGAGACCCACGTTATTTCTTTCTCAAGCTGTGCATGCACGCAGTGATTTGTTCGGAAGGGAACCCACACAGGTATTACATAGTCTTTCTTGAAGTTTCTATCAAGTTAGTATGAACCCTCGCATATCAAGAGCAGCGCATTGTTGTAAGATGTTGACTAAGTTGGATATATGGGACGTTCTATCAGTTTCTGCATAATTGACAATCAAATGAGTATTGAGGACGCTTGTTTACCAATTATCTCATTGTCAGTTAGTATCTGGTTGTTAGGGTTCTAAATCCGAGCAACGAAACTTTCAAAAACTGGGTGTCTCCAGTGACCATGACCTTCTGAAGTCAGAGTGGAGTAAAACTGTGATGTGAGCCTCAGAGGAGTGCTGTGTTATGGGGGAACTCTTCGCCGCAGGTGTGGAACCGAAGTTGCACCCCTCGTTTTCCGTTCGGATGGGCTATCCAATTGCACCACCGGGCCCTCTCTACACCTTTACCTAAGTTTTGTTGGTGTATTTACAATAGCTTATCAGCACTCACACATGATCTGGTGCACCGATTAGCCAGCATCGGCAGTGAACCGCAAGGATGAGCTCTAATGGATACTATGATTTTGAATTTTTTAATTGTTAATTGCCGTCCTTGACCGTATGCTGTTCGCACGCGAAAGTTTACAGAGTGCTGGGTTATGGTTATGGGCAATGATTCAGCAGTCCTATAACACTTGCAGTGCGAACCGCTCCGTTGCCATACTTAACCAAGTTACCGTACTTTTTCAGGAGGTAAAAACTTACCATTGTGAGAAAGCGTACAACTTACTTCCATGCAAAACCAACTAAAACATTCGATGCCCGAGCAAAGAAATCGGTAAGTTTTGATCAAGTGGGGATCTTTTACCAAAACTTTTTTTGAATTATTAAATATCTAGGACAAAGCGCCTTGGTTGGATCTTCCGACGAAGAAACGTAGTGGCTCCAAAGAAGTCAAACAATGGGAGCATGGAAGCAGTACTTCAACCATGCACGACGATGATTCAGTGGCTTCCAAAAGTAGTCGTAAGGTTGAAGTCGGTTGTCTGCCGTGACCGTAGTTGGTTGTCATAGCTGTACTAGCTGTGTGCTCCTGTTTTCTCCAAAAATTGAGTCTACTCAGGGTCCTCCGGTCTCTCGTAGCCGCAGATCGTCGTGCTCCACTCCTAGAGCACATTCTCGGTGTTCTGAGAATCCAATTCTCACAGCTGTTATGAATGGAAACATAGAAGAAGTTCGCAGTGCCATCGATGTATGACATTCTGCAGTTTCAGTCTTCCATTTTGATAATCGTCATTGCTAAATTTTGATTACTAGGTGATAGGACATGCTGGTGATACCATCTGGTTATTTTAGGCCGGTTATGACGTGAACCAGCGCGACGAACTGAAGCGGACACCACTATTTATTGCTGTGGAAATGAAGCGTTTAGATATCTGCCAATTGCTTGTCGAGCATGGAGGAGCAGTGATTAATGCAAATTGTATGATTTTGCATCCACTTTTATCTGTTTCTTGGTATCGCTGTTTCTTTTCCAGGTGGCTCTGAGTGCAACACTGCGCTCCATGTCGCCGTCTCGCAAGAAAACGAAGAAATCGTGAAGTATCTGCTTTCAAAGGGCGCGAGCAAAACGGTGGGATCTGAGTTATTGAACACCTTTCTTGTTCTGAACCATATAGATAAGTAGATATAAATGCTGTTTATGTTCAGATTCGTAATATCAGGCAGGAGACACCATCACAGTTAGCTCAACGTCGTTCACCTCTCCGTTCTCTGGTCGAAAAGTACCGTACTCATCCGAGGCAGCCTTGTATGTTTTAGTAGTAATCAGTGACTGGGATAGATGCTAGTTGTTTTGATTTTATAGATGTGGCGCGCTTGCCGGATGTGTATATTGTTTGCTACTCCAAAGAAATCAGAAAGTCCTTAACGTATGGGGAACAAGCGATCCTCAGCAAGTTGATCACGGTATGGCGCTATTGTGAGCCCTTGTTTTTTTTTATAGAAATTCGAATTACGTCTTGAGAGTGCAAGTGCAGAGCTGAACAGCATTCTGACTACTTGTACTTTTTTACCCTAGCATTTTTGTTTGTCGATTATCGCGATTCATCTCTCTTGAACTCTGCACCTGTTTTCAGGTAGTTGAATTTTGCGACGAAGAAACAACTCATT